TGGCTAATGAAAGAAGATAATTGAATTATTTGAAAATTTTCGGATGGCAACACAAAATGTCATTGAATTTCTTAGGTTAGTATGATTTACTGTTTTGATACTTCATGCAAATACTCATATTTATTTCTATTATATATTTTTTCCGAATAGTTAACAGGTATTTCTTTCGCATGATTTGATTATTCCAAATAAAGTTGTGTTTTATAATAAATATAGTTTTAGTTTTCCATGCAATGCTAGTAATTTTAAGTATCAATAGAAAAAGACTAAATACGTATAGTATTTAATTTCATAGAAATACAGTTACTATCAATGTAAAAAATAATAAAATGAAATCAAGTATCAAGTAAGTTTAATCCACAAAATATATCAAACTGTCAGGGATAACATTTTTTTTTAATTTGCCGCGCTTTTTCGTTATCTTCTTTCATTAGCCAAACTCTAGTTGGTATGAATGAGCTTACTTACTCACAAAAACCTGTACTCACCCTCTCCCAAGCTAAATACTTCTCCCTTATGACCTCCTTTGACATACCCACATTAAAGAGATTATGTTTTTCCTCTTTAACCAATTTCAAAAGAAGACTACACTCTTGTGCTGAAAAATTCATTGACTTCTTTCTAATTCCATTCGTTTCTTGTAGCAGCGGTCCCTTGAAATTAATAATTTATATTATGGGATAATGGGTCAGTTGGCGTAAACGTTCGTTACAACCGTCACGCATTCATATCTCATCAGCAAAAACTTTTTTTAATTTGCGTCTATTAATCAACGAAAGGGTCTACCTTCCTGTCTGTTTAAGAAATGGATAAAAAAATAAATGCAAAGCCTGCGAGAACGAGATATAAGGTTATAACGCCTGGATTAATTTATTAGTCTATTAATAAGCATATATAACCTTCTTTAGAGATAAAGAAGATTATAAGCAGATTTATTTTATCAAATAAATTAAATACTAACTACATAAAATCGGCGTTAGATCAGATTTTTAAGGTTTTTAGTTTTTACGATGGTTATAAATTTCTATAAATATTAATTCTCCTTATTACATTATAATTTACATATCCACAATAGGTACAATTTAGCTTGAAATTTACTGTAACACATTTTTTTTAAATATGGTTTGTACTGAAGTTGGCTATGTTGGTAAAGTGCCCAATCTACAATAGCGAAGGAATTAATTTTTAAGTTTTGTAGCTACACTAATTAAGATAATTTTACTGAATAAAACGAGTCTATATTTACCTAGCCTTCAACGGTTTTTCGTCATCAATATCTGAAACTTAAAAAAAAATGTTAAAAAACCATCGTCAATACGGAATAATATATATTATCTATGGAATTCTAATTTTCTTGAGTTCTGAGAAAACATATGATTATTTAAAAAAAAACTTGTTTCAAAGAAAACTCGATAGCCATATTTAAATATTTTTAACTGTACAAATTAAAAGAATTATGCTTTGGGCATTGATATACAAAAAACCCAAGATGCACACTCAACGTCAAAAAAACGTCCTCAAAAAATGAGCGCAACATTCTAAATTGTGCGCTCATTTCAAATAGTCTCGCGTCTACAGTGGAGTCGATGTTATTTATTTGTGTTTTTTTTATAAATAAATTTATGTACTCTTGAACTTCTTTGTGTGTAGTTTTTGACAAATATATTTACGCTATATAAAGTGTGGGTCAGGAGGTAGCCAATTTAACATTTTTTTTAATTTAAAGAAAAACTTTTTAACCGGATTAAAGTTATGTATTATTATAAATTGACAACTATTTAACATCCAACACCTTTTGTCTTCAGTCACCGTGACCACTCACGCTGTAAAGCACCCGAAAAGTCGGATAAATTTAAAATTATGTTAAATAGTTGTAAATAAAAAAGTCATGTTCGACTCCACTCAATACCTTGTCCTACCGACCACGGTCGGTCGTAAAATTTTATTGCTTTAAGTACGTATACGCTGCGTTGTAATAACAACTTTAAGCAATTCGCGTAAGGTTGATTTTGCAATAATATATGCTTGTAACATATACTGTTATGGACAGAAATATTGTTTCGGGACACTTTCGAGCGTTACTTTTATATGAGACTGTGCATCTTGGGTTTTTTGTATATCAATGGCTTTGGGGCAACAGTGACTAATAGAAGACATTGCAAAAAGTATGAATCTTAAGCCAAATCTCGCAATGTTATATTCAAGAAGAAAATATTATAAATATGTCTCCTGGAAGAGATCGCTTAGTAGCGACAAGGGACGTTGATTTTATATGATTATTATTATTAAATTCTAGTGCAGAAAATATAAATCAATAAATGTAGTAAAACATCTTAATGAAATCTAGTGCATTTAAATATATGGTGACAATCAAACGCGTTTAAAAATCTTATCGAATAAAATGATCTTACCAGAATGAGAAGAACTCCCTTTGTCATCCAAAAATGTATCATTTGTGTTCTCATTTAGTAACTCCTCAGGTTCTGAGTCTGGAATTTTTATTACAAATATTAGTAAATGTACTCAAATAAAATTAAAAAACAAGTTTACCTATAAGAGATTGCTTATAAGGAACGACGTATTGAACTTACTACTGACTTTACCTATTTTGTACAGTACTTTTACAAAATGAAATTCTATATTTACTATAAGATTAAAGCAAGTCTCAAATTTTGTGTAAGGCATACATTTATCGATCTAAAAATCTGAGAATAAAAATATTCAAAACCATAATAGAAAAGCTAGCCTTTTTTTGTGAAAAAATTGCAAAATTGCTGTTGGCCACTGAAGAATACGAATCGCAAACCTACCACTGACGACGATTCTAAATAATTAACTGCTCTGGGAGAGTTCGCAAAGAGGTAAAAACAAAGATAATGAAAATTGTAAATGAAAACTACTCCCCATCGGACTTGCGGCATACACTTTTCTGCTTAATGCAATGAAGATTTTTTGTTACATGAGAATCTCAATCTATATACCGTTAGGGGATCAATGAACTACCTATAAGATGGCAAAAGTGCATAGATAGCAATGGAACATACTAAGATTAAATATATTCCATTTAAAAAAAAAACTACTTTTTGTTCCTCCCATACAAATCGCCAATTTCATATGTTATGTATGTATTCAAGGACCTTATATAAGAGTAACGGCAAACTTTTAACATATATTGAGATTCAGAGAGGGTTTTGATTGATTCACCTTTGTTATTAGCCAAATACCAATACAATATTTTACTTAGCCTTAGATAATTGTCTATATGGGATTGCAATAATTAATGGCGCTCTGCTTAATTACTAAAGATATACTCAGAACACATAATATCAGTCTCAACCTGTCAATAGACCCTAGTAACACAACTTATACACCTTAACAATAATCTAGAAATGGATCTTGCAAATATGATATTTAGGCAAAGATATAATAACTAAACTTTTGAATGTTCATTATATTCCAAATGTTTAACATGTACCTTCATATAGATCCAGTTCCGAGATTTCTACTTGAAGACTGGGATCATTGACTGACTCATATGATAACTGGAATACTTTTTTCTGCACATCATTCATTTCACAAGGTGAATTATTGTGTATTCTCTTTGCATCTCTTTTTAAATTTAACCACTTTGTTTTCAAATTATCAGAACTTCTATGCACATTTATTTTTTCTTTATTAAATAATTTTGCTATCTGTTGCCATACTTTTTCTTTAGCCAAATTTGTATTTGCATTTATGTTGCGGTTTAGTATGACAGATTTAAATCTTACAACTAGATCCAGCAAGAGTTTTATCTCTGCATCACCAAAATTGGCACTTCTGTCAGAGTGACTGGAACATGATAAAATTTATTAAAGTCATTGTTACCGATATCACAATACATATAAAGAGGTACAACACTTTCTAGTTTTTCAACATTAATTTTCCCTCAAGTAAATAATTACAAAAAATATAGCTATTTCATTAATTTTATTATTAAAAGCAATTAATTATTATATTAGAGAAAAAGGAAAGTATGCAAGTATTTCTTACTGACAGTCAGTGCCCATATTATCCAGTTCATATTATTGAATGCAGGTATGTAGTATTAATTTTTTTAATAGCTAAATTTAACTTACACAGTTTTCTTATTAGAATCCATATTTATTTAATTATCAATACAGACATAATTGGCATGCAATTAATCTGAAATAAAAAAAAAATATTAGCCAAAGAGAAGTAAATAAACAAAGTATGGGTTAAACTTTACAATATGGACCATCGATTTTTGAGGTTTTTTGGGGAGAAGGGGATGGAGGGAGGTGAGAACTACCCCCTGTATCATCCCCAACCTGCGGAACCCCATGGTTATGGAGATATTCATAGTTAAAGTTTTAAAGTTATAATGGTAAAGATTTAGAAATCCGTCGCCCGAATTTGATAATACTTATTATGTGGTATCTCTTAGACCTACAACGCACTAGCGGCTGGCCGCAATGCGGTGTGCCGCTGCGGCGGGCCGCACATTGATTATTATATGAAACCGCACGATAACAACGCACTGACTTGCGGTCAACCGCTCCGGTTGATCTGGAGCTCCGGCGAGCCGCACCGGTTGAATGATGCGGCGCGCCGCGTCCCCTCCACGCACTTGGCGCGGTTAGCCGTCCTACCTACGTCATCACATATAATTATTTAACAAATGAAAACAAAATATTGTAAACCTATTTTAAAAGAGTAAAAAATAAAAAATGTTTATTATGGAACATAAGATACATGTATCACGTCATTCAATTTGAATTTGTAATATTTCAAGAAGCACTGACGAGTGACGATTGCGGCAGACCGCAATAGGGACGGTTACGGCATACGGCATAGCCGGAATACGGCAGGCCGCTACGGCGGACCGTATATACCGCGGCCCGCCGCAGCGGCACACCGCATTGCGGCCAGCCGCTAGTGCGTTGTAGGCCTAACGGTAGTGATTTCTGCTGCCGGAGTTGCGTGTAAGTATTAAAAAAGATTATTTAAACTTCTGTGTAATGTATTGAAATTTGTAAACAAACTGTTCATTTTCTATTGGTTATTAGAGATGTGCCTGTGCTTTGTCACAGCTGCTGCTCTTCCTCCGCGCCTCCGATTATTTATATACTGCTCAAAACAATTAACGGAACAAGATTTTTCTCCTTTCTATTGCTTAAACTAAAATTAGATTTAAATTAACTTGTACGCTATTTTTTACCTTGTTAATTTGTTAATTACTACAATTAATAAAAAAATTCAAATGTGCATTGTAGACGAAAAACTAATTGGTGATAAAAAAGGTCCATCAAAGAAATATTCTTATATCGTTTGAATATTCGTCTTTAGTGACTTTCAGTAACGTGTGTGGCCTCCATGAGCCCTAATCACGGCTTGACAACGACGCGGCATGCTTCGTATGATCCTCCGAATATCTTCTTGTGGAATTCGCTCCCATTCTTCAATCAACGCTTCAGTGAGCTGCTGCAGTGTTTGAGGTGCAATCGGACGCTTCCGGATGCGCCTGTCAAGCAAGTCCCAAATGTGTTCAATTGGATTTAGGTCAGGGCTCATGGAAGGCCACTCCATTACACGGATTTCCTGCTGTCGTAAGTAATCTGACGTGATGGCTGCAGTATGCGGCCTGGCATTATCTTGCATTAAAAGAAAATCTGGGCCCATACCATATGCTGCGGGCCAAACATGATCTTCGAGCACATTTTCAATGTAAGTTTGAGCACACAAGCGCCCGGGAACAACGACGAGATCTGTGCGCTCGTCCAAACTAACTCCGCCCCAAACCATCACAGAGCCACATCCAAATTTGTCATATTCCTGGACTACTGCTGCACTGTATCGCTCGCCTGGGCGTCTGTAAACACGGAGACGACCATCGCAACGTGTTAGACGGAATCGTGATTCGTCAGTAAAAAGCACTGGCCTCCAATGTCGAAGTTGCCAATTAGCGTGATTTTGCGCGAACTGTCGGCGAGCTTGTCTATGTTGAATTGTTAGACGCACAGCCCGAACTGGTCGGCGTGATCTCAAATTGGCTTCCAACAACCTATTTCTTACCGTCTGGTCGGAAATTTCTACACCAGTAGCCGTCCTTAGTGTATTTTGTAGATCTCTTGCAGTTGTGGTGCGGTTACGTAAAGCACAGTTGACGATGTAGCGATCTTGCAAACGTGTAGTTTTTCTCTTTCGACCTTGACCACGCCTTCGTGAGTATTCTCCTGTCTCACGGTATCGCTTCCAAAGTCTGTAGATAACAGAAGGGGCTACTCCTAGATCATTTCCTACATAACGCATAGTTCGACCCTCTTCAAGCAAAGCGATAGCTCGGGAGACATGCAATTCAGTCAGATCTGGCATTATGACCTAAACTCACTCGCTTCAATGAATAACAATACTCAAAAGGCTCACTTCAATTTCTATTAATACTCAAAAGATTGAAAAAAACTACTTAAAATGTGTTTTCTGTGATTAGAAAGTAATGAAAATTCAAAGACGTCACTTTGTTTTTAGGTGTTTCTAGACACACTGCCACTTTATTAAAGGACTACTAACCAAAACGCCGATGCTCTTTTGTTTTTTATTTTCTTCGACAATGCCTTAACATTATCTAGTGGCCAGTAATAATTAAAACCTTAAGTAAAAAGTTTAGTTCTACTTTAAAGTTTTGTTCCCGTAATTGTTTTGAGCAGTATATATACGCTAGGGGTAGGGTAGACAAGACCACGTGGATAGTGGGGTGCTCTGATTCGGTTTTGGGTACTTTTTGTATATAAAATTTTAGAAATAACGTAATTAAACACTTTATTGTACTAATTAGCTAATACAGTAAGTTACAAACAATGAAATACAAGTACAAAAGCAATTTAGACAACAGTTAAAGGTGCATAAATTTACGGATTGGTTGTGCGAGTACTACTCATGGAGACGATTTTTTTACAAACCATTTAGATGCATATGAAGACCTGATACGTGCAAATAAATATGTAAGTATATAAAATAGAACAAAGCTTACTCTATTTTAGTTCCACCTTTGTACTTGTATTTCATTGTTTGCAACTTTGTATTTCCTAATTAGTACAACTATTAGTATTTCCTATGAAATACAAGTACTAAGGTGGAACTAAAATAGAGTCAGCTTTATTCTATTTTATATACATATTTAATTGCACGTATCAGCTCTTCATATGCATCTTAATTGTTTGTAAAAATGTTTCGTCTCCATGAGTACTCGCACAACCAATCCGAAAAATTCTGCTTGTTTTGCTGTTGCCTAAATTGTTGTTTTAGTCCTCTCCACTGCAGGGCCGCGCCGCCCATGTGTGCGAAGTGTGCGGTGCACACAGGCGCGATTAATTACTCAGAGCTTAGCGAATCAAAAGAAAGGCCGCTGGTGACCGCCGTGAGTTTTTTGAGTGTGTTTATGTCTTATGATTTCAATAATATGCCGACATACCTTGATAAAATCCAAAATGAACTATTTTTTATACTCGGTAACCAAATTCAACATTTTATTTTAAATTTATGTCGGATTAATAAATATTTTTCAATAATACTGGATTGTACTACTGACGTTTCACACGAAGAGCAAATTAGTATGATAATAAGATTTGTCAACTTTAACATGTAAACTAGAAAAGTTAAGAATAAAGAGAGCATTTCCAAGCTTTCCTTCAATTTATAATAGCACTTTCTGCTCAATCGTAGATACAACTGGCGCTGGAGTAACGTCATTTATAATAGAAAAACTAAACGAAATTAATTTGGACATAAAGAACTTAAGGGGGCAAGGCTAGATAATGGCTCAAATATGCGCGGTAAAGAATATTGCGGGATGTACGAGTAAATCTCCGCACTTTTTATGTCCGTGCGCCAGCCATAGTTTAAATTTAATAATAAATGACGCTGCACATCTCATACAGACTGCGTTTTTTAATATTGTGCAAGAACTATATAAATATTTTTCGTCCTCTACTAAAAGATGGGATTTATAAAAGATATGTCATAAATCTGACCTTAAAAACGGTTAGATAAAAATAACATCATAAATAAACTATGTAACAATTTAATTCAGTTTTATTTTTCACGGCAATTGGCAGCGGACGTTTTACCTATTTAAGTGGATTAAACTAAAGAAAAATTTTCTTTTAGTCAAAATTAAAAAATACATTGAAACTTGAAGATTCTTAAAAAATAGGCGAAAAAGAAGGAGTTCCCTCAAAGGCCTGCAACACACCCGCTAAAAATGTCTATGAGATTCAATGACTGCCATTTTTTTCCGTCCCTAAGGCTCGGTTTGACCCCTATAGAAAAAGGAGGCGCTTCATGGGTTTCCCACGGCGCTGCCGGGGTCGGCGCGGCCCTCTCCACTGGCTCTTAATACGCTGAGTGTGTGTCCCGTCTGGTGCCACAAATTGATCGCTATGGTCAACTTTTTTATGAATATAACCATGCTCAGGAAGGCTCAGATATGCTCTCCAATTATCTGTGTGAATGATGGAGCCTTCCTGGACATGTTTTGTAATGAGTGGCACCAATATGTCCGCAGACCTTTCATTATCGGGACACACCTCAAGCCGCAGATCGTCATTGCCATCTTCTATCATGCCAATCACCCAATGTCCTTCAATATGTCCCCCCCGGTTATACTTTCTTTTTCCAAATTTTGTTTCATTTATTTGAACGATTTTATTAGGGCCCCCTATCTTCCCTTGGGCCCTTTGATTTTCTAAATCATATAATACTATTGTTTCCCAGCAATAAGTAAACCAGTTAGCCACAGTTCTGTCTGAAACTACCAGGCCGACATCACTGGCCAGCTCCTTCCTAGTTTGGTGGTAAGACAGTCCCTCACTAAATGCGTACATGATTTGAAAGATTAAAGTCAGGGACAAGTGTGCATTTTCAAACCAAGTCCCTGCCGCACGAGAGACTGTTTTGGTGCGGCAGTTGTACTTCCTGCATCTAAATTTCCCAACTTGCCCTGACTCTTTTGTTAAAATCATTGTCTTTCGGTGGTAAGTGCAGATTTTTTGAACTGGTATGAGTCCCCTCTCCTCCGCAAACTGAACACACTGGTCGTGTGTACCCAATTTGGAGAAGATTTTTCTCCAGTTCCACATGGATCTGAATAAAAAGTTATTATAAAGATATCATTATGATTATTGCTGCTTAGTAAGCAAATTAAAAATCTGATCTTGCTAACAATGATATTGTACAGTACTCATAACATAAATCAAAACTTACCTTAACTCATCTGTGTAAGGATTAAGCCTTCTGCCAGATGACCCAGTAGGTCTGGGCATCGCAGCAGCAAATTCCTCGCCAAGATCAGTCATCTCACTAGGACCAGGAACCAGTTCGTCAAGAACCGAGGATCACACACATGGGAGAACAAGTGGGTCATTTGAGGCCAATACTTGCACTTGCGTAGTAGTAGGCACAAGCGGCTCTATTGAGTCCAACACTCGCGCACTACTTGAAGACGGCGCAGTAGAGGAGGCCGTGACAAGCGGCTCATTTGAGTCCAACACTTGCACTTCACTCAACTCTTCAAACACAGAAATATGGGGGTTCGGAGACGCCATGGTAGTCAAACGTTGAAAGCTTACAGGAGTACGTTAAACAATCTCAGCTGCAAGGGCAACAGGTGACAAACGATGACTGAACGCTATTAAACAGAATTATCCACAAATAATGGGCATTCAAATCGATGGTACATATTGAAAAGTTTAGCAAAACTATTTTATATAATGACTGGCCTATTACTCATTAAAGTTGAGAGTAGATGTGTGTGCAGATAGATACAAATACATTCTGTATTGGATATACATATTTCCTAGCCTGTTCAGACACCGCTAGGCAACAACTTTACAATTACTAATATTAAAATTTCCTTATTATTTTTTTTATAGCATTATAAATTTCGGCTCCACTGGGATTTTAGGTCTTTCGGGTTTTGACGTCGAGACTCGAGACCGCGTAAACTTCACGACACGTAAAATACAGTCTATGAGTAATTAAATTAAAAAAAATACTTACAATGCCTTCTAACTGCGATTTAATATCTTTTTTATCACTTTTGAATAGTTAACACTAGACACTAAAAAAAAAAAAAAAAAAAAGGGGGGAAAAAAAAAAAAAAGGGGGGGGGGGGGGGAAAAAAAAAAAAAAAAAAAAAAAAAAAAAATTTTAAAAAAAAAAAAAAAAGGGGGGAGAAGGAAGGGGAGAAAAGGGGGGGAAAAAAAAAAAAAAAAAATTTTTTTTTTTTTTTGTAAAAAGGGGGGGGGGGGGGGGGGGGGCCCGCCCCCCACCAAAAAACAGGGGGGGGTTTTTTTTCACAACCACATTTTTTTTTTTTTTAAAAACAAACAAACCCGAAAACGTCAGTTGATATTCGCCAATTAAAAATTCGACTATAGTCAATGTTTTAATGTTTAGTAGATCTTGATATAAAAAAATCTGATTATTGTCGAAACGGTTATTTGACAACAGTACATTATAAAACACACACAGATCACAAGTACAGGTAAACAAGAAATAGAAACAAAAATCATAGAGCATCGAGCGAAATCACTAACAGTACTGTATGACTTAACGTCTTATTCTTTTATGTAGGATCAAATAGTTACGTTTCATTTATTTCCTTCAATGCCCCTTTTGCATCCGTAATTCATCATAATATATGGATGAATTATTTCTATAAAATGTTATGCCCTAATGAAGAAATTATATGTCAATATGTCAACTTTTGTTGTAAGATGTCAATACTCAATCGTCTAATTTCAGATTAAAAAATTCTTCTAATTTTTCAGTAGACATTTTAGGTTATATTTTGCTGTTAATAAATTGAATGAACTAGAATTAATTCAATTGTTTTGCAAATAGTTCTCATTACACGCATTATTAAAAGGTACTGTTATGTATAGTTACTATTAATTAATTATTAAAATCGTGCACGGGCGTACCGTGCAAATCCCTGAAAAAATATGGCCGACTTGTTTCCATAGACGGAGTATGGACGTAAATATTGTGTATAATTGCAGTGTAATAGACCTACCATACAAGTTATAGTTATTAATTGCGTGTTAGTTTACAATTGATACATTCCAATTTAATGTTATTGTTTCGAAAATCTGTTCTGAAATGAAGGAAATTATTTTAGCTATAATAACCTTCGTATGTAGCATATTTTTAGTAATTGCATTTGTTTTATTCTGTAAGTAGCTTAACCAGTAGTGCTTACTCAAAATTTTAACGTAGTGTTTCATTATCCTTTGTTCTTTGTTTAAGGTTGGTACGTTGTTTGGAAGTGTTGCCTATCAAAGTTTCGCTTTGTCCGTGAACTTATAGGTGGCATGTCAGAAACCCCACCAGCGTCAGAAGTTAGACAACCCAAAGGAAGAAAGACTAAAAAAGACTAATCACTATTTTTATAACTACAACTAGGAATAACTATAATACGAAAATGAATATCCGTTGCGCTCGGCCTAGCGATCTTATGAACATGCAACACTGCAACCTTTTATGTTTGCCAGAAAATTATCAGATGAAATATTACTTTTATCATGGACTTTCATGGCCCCAGCTAAGTTATGTTGCTGAAGATGAGAAGGGACATATTGTTGGTTAGTACTATCACATAATCATAGCTTTGTTCTAGAAAAGCTAGAATGTGTAGAGTTAAATAAAATAAAATTACAATATTAATATTGTATTCAGAATTGATATAAATATTTATACACACATTAGACTTTGTAATTCGACAATATTACTTTTATTATGATTAGGATGGAAATGAATGACTTTTAAGTAGAAACAAAACTGTTTATACTTAATAGTCATTCTTTTGACTCTATATTATTTTTATTGAAACTGTTATTATTCTAGGGTATGTTCTTGCAAAGATGGAGGAAGATGGTGAGGATAATAGACATGGCCATATCACATCTTTGGCTGTAAAAAGATCGCACAGACGCTTGGGTCTTGCCCAGAAACTAATGAACCAAGCATCATTGGCTATGGTTGAATGTTTTCAGGTATGCCAGGATCAATTATGGTATTTTGAATACTTATTAATATATTAAGTAATGACGCAAGTCATTCTGAAATCAATATTTATTAAATCACAGGGATTTAAAAGTTTCTACAGATTTAATAAAGTAATATTTTGTTATTATTTGACTATATAAATTATTGCTACCAATATATTGTCATTAAGATTTGTATGTCATTTTTATATTTTGTTTTATGGCCTCTATGTAAACATCGCATTCTTTTCAGGCTAAGTATGTATCTCTGCATGTAAGAAAGAGTAATAGAGCTGCGCTCAACTTATACACAAACTCATTAGGGTTTAAAATACTGGAAATTGAACCCAAATATTATGCAGATGGAGAAGATGCATACTCTATGATGAGAGACCTAAGTTCCTTCTCTGAGAGCAAAGAAAACCAGCCCTCAGATAATATGGAAATTAAATCAGAATCAGCCATTGTTTCACAATGCTAAATTTGTAATTAATGTTTGTTGTCAATAAATTTATCTTATGAAATCAATATTTTGTTTGTTTTTATGCTATAACATGTGTTGAAGTTTATATATATATTGAAAAATACATATCTTTATGACTTAAAACATAATAGAATATTTCTATAGCTTCTAGCTCTAGGCTTAACAACATCTTTTAATATTTGTTTTAAAAAAGATGATTTAATAAGTTAATAGTTTTGCTATGTGGATTGAATTATTAAATCAATTATTACAAAATAATGTTCTTTAAATTTTGAAATAAAACTAGAGAACAAGCTGTATTGATAAAACAATGAGAGTTAAGAATACTTTTATTCAGTATCTTCATTATCATCATCATAAAGGTGATTAAGTTTTAATTCAACAGTGTTGGTTGATTCAGGTTTCTTAATTCGTAGTTTCTTCGGACTCTTTGCTGCCTTACTGACACCAACAACATACTCTGGCATTATAATCTTACTACTTTTGAAAACTATTTTAGTTTCTTCTTCTACCTTAGGCTTAATTGTTTTTGATATCTGAAATGTTGGTTTTTTGAAGACGGCTCCAGTTTCATCTGTAATAGTAGAAAATGATTCTTCCCTTTGCTCCATTTCCTGAATAAAGGCAAGAGCTGTTGCTGCATTTGTAGATTCTGACATTTGATCTGGTGTAACATCAGAAAGTGAATAATAGGACCACTTTTGTGGATTCTTCATATAGTCAGGTATTCTTCCTCTTTGTAAACAATCTTTTAAACTAGATTCTGTGCGTTTATATATACTCTCTTTGCCTCTGAACTGTTTCATTTCTCGTTTCAACTTTCTATACTGATGCTTATCTATCTCCCCATAGTCCTGATTTCTAGTGACTTTATTTGATTTAGAGAAACTATATTGATCTTCAGCATCTTTTAATGTATTAAACAAACTTTTTTGTCTCTCGTGAAATGAAGCCATTATTTTTCTAAAAAAAATCATGTATCAATAAATGGTGCTAGTGTAGTAGGTACAAAGTAAGGGCAAAACACCCTTTCTTATCAAAACTATTACATACTTTGTAGGGCCCTGTAGCTTATGTTATTTATAGAAGATCTAGATCACAATCACAAATATTCTTTTTTATTTAGACATTTATTTAAAAGCATTTGAATTTGAGGTTTTTAATAATGATTAATATCATAAATACAAAATGTACATACTACATACAATTTACAAATACAGTTTACAGCTTGATTACAGCATACTCTGTGGTTTATAGAGTATAAGCTATGACCCACTCTGTGGTCGGTATATAAAACTGTAGTTATAGTGCTTTTCATGAAAGAAGTCCCGCGGATATTTTTGGAACTAAATTTGACAGGTCGGCAATGTTGTCATTCGTCGATGTTATCAAGTTCGTTTGTTGTGGTAGATTTTTGTGAATTTTTAACTATCTTAGTGCATTTTAAATATTGATTACAATGCCAAAAGTTGTAAAAAGTTCGGCTCGAGAATTGATATTAAAGGTGAAAGAGTTCTGTGAAGCGGAACAAAAGAATAAAGGTGTTTTAATACCACTAAACAATGTTCGGAAGAGAGTTGCCGCCATAACAGGTACTTTTTAGAGTTGCCATTTAATAATTTTTTGCTGTATTGATGGGAGTTTTATGATAATATAAATTCGTTTTTACGACAAAATTGAACAAATACATAACGTGATGAAACTAGGTAACTGAAATTAAAACATATATTACATAAGCATTATAAACTTAAAGTTACTATTATTTTTAATTGTTCATAATTTAATTGCAGGTGTGTCAGAGAAAACTGTATCAAGAATTACAAACGAAGGTGTAACAGCGGCGTGTACTTCAAAAAAAATTGTAACCCCGGGGAAGAGTCGCCCGCATCCGAAAAAGTTCGACTTAGACGGGTTCGATTTGTGCGCTATCCGGCAAAAAATTTACAGTTTTTACGTCGTACATAAAGAATTACCAACATTGGTTAAATTACGGGCAGCTCTGCGAGAGGACATCAATTATCAGGGAAGCATCACAACATTGCACAGGATATTAAATAGAATTGGTTTCAAGTACAAGCGATGTCAATCCAGACGAAAACTACTTATGGAACGCCACGACATTACCGCATGGCGTGCAAGATATTTGAATAAAATACGAATAAATCGCACTGTGGAAAAACGACCAGTTGTATACTTAGATGAGACCTATATACACAATACTTATCATACAAAACGTTGTTGGCAGAGTGAGGAGGAGCCAGGAATGTTCGTCTCAGAATCATCAGGGAGTCGCTGGATAATCGCTCATGCGGGAACAAAAGATGGATTCATAAATGGTGCATTATTAATGTTCAAATCCCAATCAAAGTCCTCAGATTACCACGATGACATGAACTCAGCAAATTTCTTAAAATGGGTGACGGAAAAACTAATACCTAATCTACCTGAAAGGTCGCTTGTGGTAATGGATAACGCTCCTTACCATTGCACTCAATTAAACAAAGCCCCTTCTATGTCAAATATAAAAAGTAGTATGCAAGAGTGGCTCCGGCAAAAGGGTATATATTTTGAAGACACCTGGACAAAAGTTGTGCTGTATGAGCTAATCAAACAAAATAAAGGTCCACCGATATTTGCAGTGGATGAATTATTAACAGCTCACGGACACGAAGTATTAAGGTTGCCGCCTTACCATTGTGACCTCAACCCGATTGAGAATATCTGGAGCCTTGTAAAAAGAAAGGTGGCGGATAAGAACGTGGCACAAGATCCAAAAGAAATATTAAAATTAACTAAAGAGGCCTTTGAGTCTATTACGGCTGAAGATTGGACAGCTCAGTGCTCGCATGTCGAACATTTAGAGGAGGAATATTTAAAAAATGACGGCCTTATGGATGAAGTGATGGACCGAATAATTATATCAACTGCTAGTGATACTGAAACAGAATCTGATTCTGTTTCAATACACTCTTCGGACAGTGATGTCCCTATGGCCGTTGATCACAATTATGCAATAAAACTCTGAATAAACAATTGTATTGCTTTTCTTTACCCTATTTTCTTATCTTTTCCCTGTAAGTAGGTAGAACACCGCAATATAAGTAAATAAAAATATACTTTTTACATAACAGATATATTGTTTCATCGAAGTACGCAGAAAATAGTATTATTTGATAAATTACATCTGCTAAATGTAAATAAAATAGGTAAATTTTTTACTCATAAATGGCAACATTACGTCATGCGATTGCAGCGCCGCGTCTGGGGGACTTCTTTCGTGAAAAGGACTATACCTAGACGTCCATAGATGCCGTTAGTACTATCAATAAATTTTTAAATTTTATGAAACACCTACCAACTAGATGGCATTGTCCTTGTTTTAACCGTTTATATCTTATAGTATTGTAACAATGTACAAGCAACCAAAGACAGCAACGGTGTCACCAATGCTATCTTCTCTATCTTTATTAGAATTATTATTAATAGTATATATAATATTATATATACATATATAACATCTAAACAAGAAATTGAATTTAGTATGTATTACATCAATTAAGTTTAGTGTTTGGTTGGGTCTTTAGTACAGGGGTGGAATATCTTCGTTTTCGACACATCCATTGCTTGCTCACTACAGCTATGATATACTCTGACCAGCGTTATGTGGATCTGAGTATTAAGTTTCAATAAAAAAAATGTTTTTAAGAAAGCAAAAACAATAATAGGTTACATCTAGGGTAGTCTACCCTAGTAGGAAGTAGGAATTTAATGAATTTAATTGTCATTAAAAGTGTCGAAAATTAATAAAAATTATAAATCTAATTTTGTAAAGTTTTTTTTCGATAAAAATAACACGTGGCAATTTAATTTACAATTCGTCATTTGAGTTTTCAATAAATTATTTTGTATCAAATATAAAATACTAATATTTCATAAATTCTCTTTACGAAAATTTAATTTTAAAAATATGATTTCTATAAGGTAATTCGCCCTTCTCACTCTCTCTAATCGGTCTTAATCGCTCTCTCCCTATTCTTCGACAAAAACGCTGCACATCTTCGTGACGTTCCGAAAAAAATTTATATTCATGCGCCTAAAGAAATTTCACTCCAAAAATAATAGTTAAAAAAAACTAACCTTTCAATCAGATCTGATTTGTTTTAGAGTCTCTCAGCCATAGACTATTACATTACTTTGGGAATGGATGGATGGACGAGACAATATACATTTCGAAGAAAGCTTGCGAATAAATTACTTATTAGGAGTGATAAACATCTAGCTTCCAAACTTTGCAGGATTGTAACTAAACTACTTGTAACGATCTGTAACTAAAAGCGGGACGTTTGCGGAACAACCTGTTTGCTCAAAAGGTTTACACGTGTTATGTGTATTACTAATGGGCACTTACATTACCAAAGTTACAACCGCATCGTATTTAATCCCAATATATGCACAGCCTAAAGCCGATAAGATAAAGAGCACACGCGATTATTGAATCACTAGATTTACCTTGTATCTTTGTTTTTCTTTGTACTACTAACAACGTCCTACTAACTAACCTATAAACCACCTAACAGAAGAACAAAAATCACTACTACTTCTAACTAATTCTAACTACTACAACTAATTCTAACACAATTCTTCATAAAACATTCCCGGGATTACGCATTCATTAAAAAAATATTTTAATATTCATAGTATGGAATACTAATACTTGCAAATTTAAAAGCCTGAGGGCTTATTACATGATAAATGAGGAGCGTTGACCATGAAAATCTTACGTAATTATGAATTTGAATAAATTGTAAATGGGGGGGCCTCTTGGGATGTGCAAGTGCATTTCCATCACCTCCACCTGACGCTGCGTGTAGGCTTTTTCTGCCGATCACGAAACGAATACTTTGAGGGGATTCGAACATAATTGTTATATATAACGATTATAAATCTAGCAAGGCAAAATTGTTAAGCTTATTATCAACAACCACAATCATTGATTTAATTAAATATTTATATAAAAACAATAAAACATATTACAAAGTATTAAATTAATTCATATTAAAGATAATAAGTAATATTATGATTGTTAAATTGTAATTGAACGTATACAATGTTTTTATAAAGCAACGCAGACTTACTTTTGCGTCTGTTTTATTAAGTTGTTTATACCGTGTTGTGTGCTTACCAACCAGATACTGTTTATTATTTCCTGATCCCCGAACCTACGGCCTAACAACATTGAATATCTGACGCCGAATGACTTTACTTTTTAACAAGGGAAAATTAAAAAAAGTATCAAAATGATATTTCCAAAATTGAATTATTAATAATAATCTGTTGTGATTTTTTAAAATTTTTTAATATGTTTCGCTTATAATTGACATACAATCTATATTATAAAAAAATACATTATTATTATTATTACAATAACGAATAATCTGTCAGTTTTGATAAAATAACCAAAGGTATTAAAACAAATAGTTAAATTATTTAATTACATTTTTATTTAGTACGTTAAGTACCAAGGTAGCTATATGACCTTATATCCGAAAATTTGTATGTAGTTCGGATACCAATAAATAATACATTGTTTCATAGACAGGTAGCAAATAGCTAATCTATTGTTTAACATTTGTACATTCCTTGCCTGTTCTTCGAAGACTGAAAACTATTTGTCAATAACGTTTTTAGCGTCTTTTGTTGGAGTGCGCATGCGCGGATATCGGTCGAACATTCTCAGTCGGCATTCAGTGCTGAATTCACGCGAGTGTTCGCGCGAGAAAGCGCGGTTTCGCCGGGCTGGGCCAGGGCGGGCGGCGCGCGCACTCCTTTACCTAGATATTAAAATCAAATAAAAACACGCCTTCATAACAATTGATTGTTGTGCCAACAGTGCGAGTTCAGTGAAGTGATCCTTAATGTGAAACGCCCTACAACAGGTAGCTTTTAATTATTAATA